TCGTTGACGTCGGACACCAGCACGGTTATGTTGTGCTCGGTTTTCAGTCTCGGTGTCCCCATATCTGTGACGGTGATAGTGATATTATATTGGGCTTTACTCTCTCTGTCCAGCGCCCCATTTGTTACTAGGGTGTAGAAGTTCTCTGCAGATGGTTTCAGGAGGAAGGGGAGATCATCCTGGATGGAGCAAGTCATCCTTCCGTTGTCCCCTGAGTCTCGGTCTCGAATCCTAAACAGGGCCACTTCTGTCTCGGGGGAATTTTCAGGAATGGGGTTGGTAAGTGATGAAATAGTTAGTTCTGGGGAGTTATCATTAACATCCATCACCTCAATGGAGACAGAGCATTTTCCAGAAAGTCCCCCACCATCAGACGCATCTATATACAGCTCATATGAGGATATTGTCTCAAAATCTAGTTTTTTAATTAGTCGAACTTCTCCTGAAATGCTGCTTAGCTCAAAAGTTGTGCTTATCTCTTGAGAACTATCAAAAAGGGAATATGATATCTCTCCGTTTGTTCCGGTGTCCAAATCCCTAGCTGAGACCTTGACAACTAGGGTGCCTACAGGGCTGTTCTCTGGGACCTGCACCTGGTAGTGCGTCTGTGCAAACTCAGGGGCGTTGTCATTAACGTCCAAGACCAAGATTCGGACCTGGGCGGTGCCAGACCTGGGCGGAGAGCCGCCATCCAGCGCTGTGAGGGTTAATCTGAGCTCGGCCTGCTCTTCGCGATCCAGCTCTTTGTCCAGCACCAGCTCTGGGTATTTCCTGCCGTCCCCCCAGTTGCGGGTGGAAACATGGAAGTAAGAGTTGTGACTGATATTGTAGTTTTGTATGTTGTTGTTGCCCACGTCCAAATCCTGGGCTGTTTTCAGAGGAAACACGGTCCCAGGAGGGCTAGTCTCTAGGATTTTCAGCGTCATTTCTCTTTCAGGAAACTCAGGAGAATGATCGTTTATGTCTCTCACCAGTAGCTCAGCTCGAAATACTCCCAGTGGTTTTTTCAGTAACACTTGGAAATGCATTACACATGGATCTGTGGGGCCGCACATCTCTTCCCGGTCCAGTTTCTCACTTAATATCAACTCCCCAGTCTGTAGATCAAGCTGCAGCCAGGGTTCGTTGTCCTCGGAGACCACCCGGGCTTCTCGCGCAGCTAGCTCCTCCACTCCCAGCCCCAGGTCCTTAGCAAGATTGGCCACAAAGGAGCCGCTCTCAGTTTCCTCCATCACGAAATAGCGACGGGATTCCCAGCCTGCCAGAGCCACTCCCAGCAAGAGAAAGAGAATCAGGACTTGCCTTTGTTTAGGAAAGCGCTCCCCTCCGGCCTCCATCTTTACTCCCACAAACGCCTTTCCAGCAACAGGGGCCAGCTCTATCTTAGGTAGCAATGGGACTGAGACAGTGGTGAATCTCCCAGTGGGTAACCTGTCCAGAAATGTCGGCGAGCAGCATTCCCTGGAGTTTTTGGTGCTGAGCTTTGCTTACAGGATTTTTTCTTCCGCTGGAGATCTGAGGTAGAGTTCGTTGCATTTCCTGGGCTTTTTTTTTTTTTTTTTTTTTTTGACGTCTTAGCCTGCAGCGCCATCATGCGTTATTTTCGAAAAGAATTGCTGCAATTGCATTCTCTTGGTATATAATAATCTAGATGGCTATTGGGAGTTTGGAAATGGTTTGGGGGAGATAATGTAATCAGAAAACCATGCAATTATAACTATTCATTCCTTCATTCAAAGGAGTGTGACTGATATCTATGTACTGGGCTCTGAAATACATCAGTAAGCAATCCAGACATTGTCCCTATCTTCTAGAACCTGTCGTCTGGGTGGGGTATTCTGAGGAGAACTGAAAGAAGACTTAAAAGTGATCAGTTATCTTGTAAAAATAACAATATATACCTATGTGATTTCTTAAAGTTCTCTCAGCAAAAAGTTTGAATTCCTCTAGATTTCCTTTCAAATTCTAGGCACCCTATGTGCCAGAATTGTGGTTTCCATTGGTTGAATCACATCAAGGAAAAAGCTATTAGTTCATTCCAATTTATAATACCCTTTCTATATAAGGTCAGAGATTTTATGATTTTATGAAACTTTCAAACTGTGGAAAAATGCATATGAGGGCACTTCCCGTATCTCCTCCTGCTTTTTCTCCCTAGCATTGGTCACCATCTTATACAGCATATATGTACACATTTAATTGTTTCTTTTCTGTGTCACCCTTGAGTTTAAGAACTTTGTTTTGTTCACTTCTACATCCATCAACGTCTACAATAGTTCCTGGCACCTAGTAGATACTCAACAAATATCTGTTAAATAGATCAATGAATAAATTAATTTTACAATTCTGATAGATGGATTCTCCTCCTAATGTAGAAGCCCCCTGTTTTGCTAACATCCTAGTTCATTGTATGAGCTAAATAAGCAAGACAGCATGTTCTCAAGTGACTTTTTTTCTATGCTCCTTTGAATAGTAACTTGAAATAATTCAAAATGATCTAAAATGTTTTTTCACTGAATGACAAAATACCCTGGTTCCCCTAAGCAAAGGAATATATTTTAAAAAAGAAAGAACATAATAACAAGGCTATAATGAGCCTACAAATAAGGCATACATCTCTTAGACCACATTTTTACATTATCAGTGTTATTTTGCAGTAAAGCTATTATGACACTAATGATATTCAAAAACTCTTATATAATAGAATTTGCTAAGAATTTCTAATTTCTATTAAACACTCCAAAGACTGTACAGTTTGGATATATCCATCAATTCTTCTCAAAATTGTATATTCTAACAAACGCTTGTTCTTGTCCCTTACAGACTACTAATATTCCACAACCTTTTGATCCTAAATATTACATTAATATGAAAACCATAATTTTTAACATCTCAAATTAATAGTAAGGTCCAATCCATGCAAGCATATCTAAAAGTGCTTTTGATAAGAGAACAAATCCACTTAGCTCTCTTATTTAGAGGGAAATTTATTTAAAAATTTCATATTTATTTCCAAAAGCTCAAGAGAGAAAGTACATTTGGGAGCGACTGGAAAATCCACAATGAGGCATCTCCTACCTTTTTGTCTCTAAGTAGATTGGCTTTCTGTGCTTCTTTCATGTATTTAGCCAACATGGTATCACTTTCTTGCTAAGTTTCTAACAGAGATACTATAACCAGTTTCTAAAGTCATTTTTTTAAGCATAGATAATGAGATTGGGTCAGTTTGGATCAGCAATGTCTACCACCTTGTCTTGTTGTTTGAAATCACAGAGGGAGATGGGTCATATAAAATAAACATGGCTGCAACAGTACATTTTTACTGAAGAGAGAAGTTTCCAGAAAAAGATGGGGTGGGCTAGACAGACACCACAAAAGGAATCTATTATTTAAATATCCTAAAATAACCTAATAATCTTTCAATACTACTCATATATTATATATTGCAGGTTGATAAAAAAAGAGAAAACACCTTTAAGTATAGGATAAATTGTAGTCTTTTCCATTTAATACTACTGTGAAACAAAAACATACCGTTTTTTCAGATATTTCTCCATTTAAAAGTTTAAGACAAGGAGGCATAATATCAGATTAAACAGAAGATTTACTAATAATTCATTATATTTGTATCATGCTCATCTCCTAAGTAACCACAACATCAAAAATTTAGAAAAAGTTTCTGGACAACAATCAGAGAATGGGTTTGGGGTCATCTTCAAATCAATAGTGCTTGATGATGAAAAGTTGAAAAACTAACAAATATTCATGACTTTTCAGTAATGAAGTAAAATTGAAAGTTCTTTATCTCCATCAAAATAGAAATAATAGAGTAAGTATGAGTATATTCTCAAATAAAATTTCTAATCTCCTTAACTAGCAAAATGAAATCAGAAAAAAAAATCAAGAAATTCTTTATGGCCCAAAAGGCTAATGGAAACGGTATATTTAGAGAAAACTAACTTTCATCCCGAATGCTCTGAAAAACCAAAAAATTCCTAATTGAATCCAAAACCATTTATAAAGTTTGAGTTTTCCTCTACATCATTTACAGACTCCTGGTGATTGGAGGCAACAGACTTCAGAAAGTTGAACTCGCTGGTCCCAGAGCCCCCCTTCAGACACACCTCGTACTG